CTGCTCGCAGCCTTCTCCTGCCTGCCGGCTCCCAGCAGCTCCCAGCTCCGTTATTCCGTGCCCGAGGACCGGGAGCCGGGCTCCTGGGTGGGCGACCTGGCCAAGGACCTTGGGGTGGATTTGCGGAGCTTGGCCACCCGCAGCCTGCGCCTGGTGAGCGAGGGTGGGCAGAGGCACTTCAAGGTGGACCTTGCAGCAGGGGTGCTGCTCCTCGACAGCAGGCTGGACAGGGAGGCACTGTGTGGGCAGAGCCCCACGTGCTCCCTGCACCTCCAACTCGTTATGGAGCATCCCCTTCAGCTCCACCGGGTCGAGGTGGATGTCCTCGACGTCAATGACAACGCGCCTCAGTTCCCCAAGCCAGAGGTGGTCTTGGAGATCACGGAGGTAGCCAACCCTGGGACTCGGCTACCCCTGGAGGTAGCAGAAGACCCAGATATGGGCTCCAACTCCATCTCCACCTATGAGCTCAGCCCCAGCCAGCATTTTGCCCTGAGCATCAACGTGAGAGGAGATGGTGTTAAAATGCCTGAGATTGTACTTGAAAAAGCGTTGGATAGAGAGAAGGTGGCTGTTCATCACCTGACGCTCACAGCCCTGGATGGAGGGAATCCAGTGAAGTCTGGCACAGCCAAGGTCACCATCCATGTCCTGGATGCAAATGACAACCCTCCTGTCTGCGACCCACCCGTATCCAAGGTGCATCTGGAGGAGAACGTGCCAGTGGGCACTCTGGTCACCAAACTGAATGTCACTGATCTGGATGAAGGTCCCAACGGGGATGTGGAATATTCTTTCAAAGTTAGCAATAATGCACCTGGTAAATTCACCAAGCTGTTCTCCTTAGACCCTCGGACAGGGGAGATCAGAACCAAAGCTCCTCTGGATTACGAGGAATCCAGTGCTTACGAGATTGCGGTTCGAGCCAGGGACAAGGGATCCCCAGCCATGGAAGGACACTGTCACCTGAGGGTGGAATTAATTGATATCAATGATAACAGCCCAGAGATCGTGCTGACCTCTCTCTCCAGCCCCGTGCAGGAGGATGCAACCCCGGGCACTGTGATTGCCCTCATTGGTGTGAAGGACAGCGACTCTGGTGACAATGGGCAGGTCCGCCTGCAGATCACGAAAGAGCTCCCGTTTAAACTGGTGTCATCTTTTAAGGAGCATTTCTCCCTGGTCACAAATGGTCCCCTCGATCGGGAGAAGGCCAGTGGATACAACATCACAGTGAGGGCTGTGGATTCCGGGTTCCCACAGAGGGCCACACAAAAGACCTTTTACCTTGGAATTGCTGACGTGAATGACAATGCACCAAATTTCTCCAGCCCTTTTGATACAGCTCATGTTCAGGAAAACTCCCTACCTGGAACTTCTGTCTTTTCAGTGTCAGCATTTGATCCTGATGAAGGTAGCAATGCCAAGCTGTCTTACTCCATCTTGGACAACGGGATGCAGGATGTACCCATCTCAGCCTACTTCCGGATAGACCAGGATAATGGCACCATCTACACTATGAGAGCTCTGGACTATGAGCAGGACAAGGTGTTCCAGGTGCCTGTGGAAGTGAAGGATGCTGGGTCTCCTGTGCTGAGTAGCACTGCAGTGGTTCATGTGTTTGTTCTGGATGAGAACGACAATGCCCCTACCATTGTCTACCCACCAGTCCCCAAGGGCTCTGCCTTCCACCAAACCATCCCGGTCTTGGCAGAACCTGGCTATCTGGTCACCAAAATTGTAGCTGTTGATGCTGATAGTGGCCATAATGCTTGGCTGTCCTATCAACTGCAGGAGAGTGCTGAGGCTTTGCCTTTCCAAGTGGAACGCCGCTCTGGAGAGATAAGGGTTGCACAGGCTCTCAGGGAGTCAGAAGATCCCCACAGGCTGGTGGTTGAAGTGAGGGACAATGGGACACCATCCCTCTCGGCCTCCGTGGTAATAGTCCTTTCTCCAGAGGAAAGCAGCATGCAGGAATTCGCCAAGTCCTTGGACCTCCCCAAATCTTCTCCCAAGGATACCAACCTAACGCTTTATCTCATCATCTCCCTGGTGTCCATTTCCCTTGTGTCCTGTGTCGTGTTAGCTCTGGTGGTTGCCCGGTGTCTCAAAGCTGGCACTGCCAGCTGGACCTTTGCTGGTTGCTGCCGAGGGACTGGCCACAAACCCGCTCCCCATTTCCGCGGGCAGATGAAGCCAGATGGCTTCATCAAGTACCTGGATGTGGGAGGAGCAGGCTTGACCTCCCAAGCACAGAACTACACCTCTTGTTTCTCACCCATGTCTGACCAGAGCGATTTCCTCTTTGTAAAACCTTTCAGCCATTCTAGCACTGCGGAGACCGTGGCTGCCTATGAGCAGGTGACCAGCACCTTAGCGAGTCCCTGCGACGGGGTAAGATGGGGGTGTTTCTAATTGTCCTGTAATACAGTCCATAATATCCAAGCCAGTTGGCTGTTCTCTGTCTGTCCTTCCAAGTAGGAAGGTGCCTTCAGGGAACGTGTGTCCCCATCACCTCCTGGGAGGTGGCAGGTGAAAACTTTGGCTCGGTGTGATGGAGGTGGGGGAAGGGGCTGGGCAGAACTGTGAAATCAAAGACTGTGTGTTCATAGAAGTGAAGAGTTTTTCCTTGGCCCCGTTCGTTCTCTTTTGTAAAAGTGACTCGTAGCATGGTCAGGAATGTGGGGTTTGGGTGTTTAAACTTCTTGATCTCGTTTAACCCCTTTATTCTGCACAGCAAATGATCCCTGACACAGGAGGAGGGGATCTGACAGCAAAGTTTGCTGGTGTTTCTTTTGCTCTGTTTCAGAGGTGCTCTGTAGAAATTACTTCTTAACTCTCAGGTGTTATTCATTACTGACTGTGCCTTGGCAAGGGATCGTTTTCCAGCTTGGTCATTTTGAGTGAGGGGCTGAATTCACTATAGATCACAGTGACATTTTTTGCAAAGATCCTGGTGACCTTACGTGCCCTTGGGCTTGCAGAGCCTGAGGCATGGACGTGCTTGGAAAACTCCAGCCACTTGCACTTGGCTAAATATGGATGTAGGTGACTGTGTTTAGCTGTAGCTTTTATTACTTTGGGATATAAAAAGTAAAGCAATCTTGTGTCAGAAACACCTGCCCTAAATTTGAAAGTGGTAATTGCGACAGGAATTCAAAATATAGATTGGAAAGGGCTCATTTAGTGCAGGGTTGTGTGTCAGTGTGTGCAAAAATGGATCTGAAATCAGGAGGGCAAGTGTTTAAACAGCTTGGTTTGCATGCAGCAAGTGTGCCAGTGGGGCCTGTGTTGTAGGGGAGTCATTAATTCTAACATATTCTTTCATCAGAATCATCAAAGCTGTGGAGAAATTAGTGAAATCGCATCTACTAAATAAAAATCTAGGTCAGCTGTGCCCGCCTTCACTTTTCCTCAGTAATTGCATGTACAAGCAGAATAATCCTATAAAACTGATGTTCCACTATATGGACTAGGAACTGCTCATTCCTAAGGTGACTGAGAGAAATGTTGGCCTTTCCAGGTGGGATGTTATCATCCTGGAGTTAATTAAGCAGATTATGATTTTCGGAAGTATGTGTCTTCCCGGCAGGAAAGAGTTCTGCTGTTTAGTGCTCTTCACAAAGGCCTGATTCAAACAGGAGCCTACAAGCCTGCTTCATGTCCTTCCTTATTTACAAAATGTCCATTGTTTGATGGTAAAATAACACGGGCAGAAAGGGATACGGGGGCTTATGAATGAAGTTACAAAGTGTGCTGCTGTGTCCCGAGCTCATCGTGTCTCCCGAACAAATGGTGCCTTTTTCTTTTGCTCTCGGAAGTTTATTGTTGACTCTGCAAACAGAAAAATATTGTAGTGCTCTGAGGCCTCATTTAGGAAAAGTCATTCAGATACAACGTGTGAAATCAAGATCTCAGGCTGGCTTTTTTAAGGGCAGAAGCAAGACAGATTAGCAAGGTCTGTTATCGTTTTACCTTCTGGCATTAAGAGCATCTTTCTCAGTATCAATTAACTCTGCCACCCCCGCACCCCCCCGAAGCTCATTGCTCTGGTACCATTGCCTCTGCCCTTATCAGTTTATTTCATGCTTCATTTCTTTCACAGCCTGGTTTCCTGAGCTGCTTTGGAAGATTATTCA